TGTAAAGATAAAAAATGGCGGTCGAAAAAATATTTTATACAAAAAAATAAATGTTTGGCACTGTCGCACCCTTTTTTATGAGTGCCAAATATTATTGGCCCTCTCAGTGCTATATAATATGATTTGAAAGTGTACACGGATTATAATATGATTGAAATCTACGATAGGGTGACATGGTTATTAAGGAATTTGAATTTATGGGGTTAATCTTCCATTGATAAAATAAGAATAAAGTAAAATTGATTTAAATACTTTTAGAATGTATGTATGATCCCCTAATATTTCAAAACGGACACCAGAAGAAGAGTTTTAGAACAGGAATTGATTTTTATACAATAAATCGGACAATTGAGATATACTCCCTCCGTCCCGCTAAGATTGTCTCAGACACTATTTACTTGGTCAACAAAAATCACTCTTAATCTCTTACGAGTACTTTATATATCAAGTTTTTATCAAATTTGATTCTGGTTTTTGCGACTTCGTAAAGTTTTAAATATAGTTTCTAAATATGTTATTTATTTTTTTAAAAAGAATTTGAGTTCGAACAGAGATCTATTTGCTTAATCGTCAGTCACGCATCGTAAATCGAATTGTCCTAAACATAGTGAGAAACATTTAAATAACATCTAAACTTACCTTATCTTTTAGGGTCTGTTTGCAACTGCTTTTAAAAAAGCACTTCTCAGCTTCTGACTTTAAAAAAGCACTTATTTTTCCAAACACTACAACTTTTATTTTTCTCGGCTTCCGCGTCAAAAGTGCTTTTACTTTTTCTATTACACAAAAAGCACTTATTTTACCAAACACTACCCACTTTTACTTTTCAAAATCACTTTTTTCTCAAACACTATCAACTTTTATTTAATCACTTCTCCCCATTTCATTAAAAAAAGCACTTTTTTAAAAGCAGAAGCTGTTGCAAACAGACCCTTAGTTTGTTCCAGTGGGATCATCTAGAAAATTACCGGAACTACTTGATAAACTAGAAAGATTATGTGATCACCTCGGTGCGGAAATATCCTAGTAGAAACACCCATTCATGTGGACCAATCTAAAGCCTTTTCAACGATGCATCACAGCATCAATAATCAATATGACACTTTGGAATAAAATAAAGTAAAAAGGAGTGGCTTTTGTCGGAACCAGACTTGTCCAATCGAAATCAAACGGATAGGACTGAGTGAGTCGATCGGATCTCATGATTCACAGTGATTCATTCAAACTCTATTTCACAATCCGTATACCGTGCAACCGGAGCATGGTGAGCACCATGATCCCATGCCTATATGGAATGTAACTCGTGTGAATCTACATGTAATTTCAAGTTTATCAAGATGTAAATTACACTCATTCAAATGTAAATCATTGAAATGTAAACTGATTTGATTTAAATGTAACTTGGAAAAAAATCTGATGTAATTTATGAATGTAACTTAAGCCTATTCAAATGTAACTCGGGAACAAGGAGATGTAACTTCTGTAACAGTAAGATTTGATTCATTAATTAACAAGAAAAAAGAAAGGAGGAGGAACAGGTTCCAGGCATCGCAGGTCGCAATCCTATAGGGGATAGGGGTCTCCATCGGTGGTGATCAAGCTCTGCGGCAGACAGCCATGGATGCCGCTTCCTTCTCTGTCCGCTGCACCTTCGCTTCCTTCTTTGTCCGCTTCCTTCTCTGTCTGCAAACTTAGGTTTTTTTTTTGTGAAGGGTAAGACGTATATATCGTGCAACCGGCGCACCATGAGGATGGTGCGCCCGGTTGCAAAACGATGCAGTATCGCGGCCGCCCCCTCCCCAACAACACTCTCCCTCCCCCAGCCACCTGCCATCACCATCTGGCCGCCCAACGATGACGTTCACAACCTCAGCCCCAGCCTCTCACCCTTCCTTAACCTGTAGAATTGTTGCCAACACCATCCCATAACCACAACCCCTGTGTTGTGGTTATGTAAATTACAAAATGAACATTGATATGAAAATCATAAGGTTTGTCAGTTGGACGTCACGACATTTTCATTGATCATCAAACTTCCCTTATAATGATACGAAAATAACACTTTCTCTTAAATTAGCATTAATGAACTTTTAATTAGCACTAGACCTATTATATTGAGTATTAGGAGTCTAATATTGAACATCATAATCTTTGCTTCATATATTTTAATTCACTTTCTTTTTATATTTTTTCTTTTATAGAAACTCGTTAAATTATATCTACAATCAATCCCTATGAAGTTCAATATGTGAATCTAATGTAATATGATACTTTTAAAATATGCATTTATATGACATTTTAAAAATGAGCATAACATCAGTATCGATTGAGCATATGTAGCTTACAAAATAAGCATTAATATGAAAATAATAAACTATATTAGTTGATCATCAAGACATTTTTCATTGAGCATTTAACCTCCTCTATTGAGTATTAAAATCGTGCAATTAAGTACCGATTGAGCATTCATATATTATAAAATGAGCATTAGTATGACAATCATAAGTTTTTTTAGTTGAGCGAGCATCAAGACGTTTTCATTGAGCATCAAATCTCCTCTATTGAGTATTAAAAACATGCAATTGAATATCATTGTCTGTGCTCTCGTTCTGTAATTAACTCCTACTTGAATCTAATATTATACTTCCTCCGTTATTAAATAAATGCAACAGTCAACATTTCACACTTGTCGAGACACAACTTTGACCATTAATATATATAAATTTATATTAGTAAAAAATTTAAAAAAAAATAGATATTGAAAATTTACAATGAGACAAATTTAATAATTTTTTTTCATAAAAATATATTCATACATTAATAAATACAACGTAGTCAAAGTAGAACATGTGAATAGTGTAAATTTTCATATGTTGCATTTATTTCAGAACGAAGGTAGTATGTTACTTTTGAAATATGCATTGATATAACAATTTAATATGAGCATAACATCAATACCAAATGATCTGAACATACATACATGATACATACATACATATATATATATATACAGAAATGCTCAGGTCCCTCCCTCCCCCGTCCAGCCGCCGTCCGAACTCCGCCATTTGGGGCGGTTCCCGGTGGAATTTTTTGATGAAATTTTTTGAGCATGTTCCTCATCAAGTCTAGTTTGTCCATACCAAATTTCAGCTCAAAATTCGACCGGGAAGGCAGTCAAATAAATTCTTGAAACTTACTGCACTTTATATATGCGCAGAATGTGCAGTAAGCTTCAAGAATTTATTTGACTGCCTTCCCGGTCGAATTTTGAGCTAAAATTTGGTATGGACAAACTAGACTTAATGAGGAACATGCTCAAAAAATTTCATCGAAAAATTCCACCGGGAACCGCCCCAAATGGCGGAGTTCGGACGGCTGCTCCCGTCCCTCCGGCTGGACCTGAGCAGTCCTCTATATATATATATATATATATATATATATATATATATATATATATATATATATATATATATATATATATAACTTACCAAACGAGCAATGATATGAAAATCATAAGCTTTGTTAGTTGAGCATCAAGACATTTTCATTGACCATCAAACCTCCTCTATGAAGTATCTGGCATTGTGAGTTGAGAATTAATACATTTTCAAAATGCGATTAATTAAATATCATGATCTCTACTCCCATGTTACAATCTACCTCTTATACGAATCTAATGTGTTACTTTTGAAGTAAGCATTAATATGACATTTTAAAATGAGCATAAAACCAGTATTCGATGAACATACGTAAATTACACTATACACATGTTAGTATAACATAAAACTTATGTTAGAACTTAGAAATTAACACACAATATTCAATAAACTAATAAATGGTCATCTTAAATTATAAATAGAAAAATAAAAACTCTATACCTAAAATATCTTATACTCCATAGTACATAACTTTAAAAAAACTAAGTTAAACGTTTGATTGGATATATTATAAATTTTCATGATAATTGAATATAAAATTAAAATAAAAGGTTGTTAAAGAAAAAATAAAAAAACGAAAGTTTTTTATTTATTTTTGAAAGTAAAAAGAAAGGATTACAAACCATTAAAAAAGAGGAACAAACAATTAAAAAAACGAAAACAGAGAAGTGGAAACGATTGATTCAAAGTCTGGGACACAAATTCCGAATTGAAAAAGACTAGCGAACCTGGAGACCAAGTGGTGAGTGCATGCGTTCAGCGAGAAAAATGGAAGACGGAATACAACCACTCAATCTAACTTCTAACCTCAAGTTGAAACAAATTACAAAAATGCCGGTTGTACCATGGGCATGATACAGCCGGCTGTACCTTATAATTTTCGCCATTTCATGACCATTGATTCTGATTCGATGGTGCAAACACAAAGCTTAACACCATAGGGCGTAATCAACAAATTCTTTTTGGACGCCAAACGTGCCCATTAAAGAGAGAAATGTGTCTTCCAGCTGAATTACCAAAATGAACTCCGTCTTTTAAAAATTTATCAAGTTCCATGAGTATCAAGTTTAACAAAATAAAAATTACTTCCTCCGTTTTTTTTAGTTGCAACGGTCAACATTTCACACTTGCCAACGCATATGTTTGACCGTAATTATATCTTAATCCCTATTAGTAAAAAATATTTAAAAATTAGATTTTGAAAATTTTTAATGAGATGAATTGAAAAATATAATTTTAAAAAAATAATTTTCATAAAATAATAGTATAAAATGTAGTCAAAGTAGAACATGTGAATAGTGTAAAATTCAACATGTTGCGATTAAAAAGAGACGGAGGATAGTATGTGATTAAGATTTTATCGAACTTGAAGCCCGCCGCTTATGCCACCGGTCCGTGCCCTGGGCCGGGCCGAGTCATGCCTATACAGTAACGGGTCAGGCCCAAGTGCCAAACCATCTAGTCCATCCCTATATTGTGATGTAGACCCGACAACATTATTGATGTAGAATTCATTATTATCAATTTCACCTCATTTAATCTTGATTACCCAAATCAAAGAACGATTTAAACTGCTACATGAATTATTGAGTTGTGTACAATTGTACCATGGGAAAGGTCTCTTTCGCTGTGCGAATTTGGGATGCTCTTGACCTTACGATACAAAATTGCATCCGAAACGTTCATTTTTTTTAATAAAAGTCATCGTCTTAATCATCATATCATACAATATACAGCAGAGATTCCCGACACCACTTACCTAACATTACAAAAAAAACATGTGGGGAGGAATGGCTCAAGAAAATATCAAAACTAATACTGATATAATAGTAATACCAAGACGCATTGTTTTGTTCCCATAGAATACAGTCTCTGTCGACACACAGAACAGGCAATGACCAGGTTCTCATTTTTTAACATGAACATATCATGTGAGTGCTTGACAGATCAGTGGGGTCCCACTTGAGACGACTAAATCTGGTTCGCAGGTCAACGCATGTACACTTGAGATTGAACCACAGTCTTACCCACCATGAACCCAGGAACCACCGTGAAAGCCACCACCGGTTCTGTTTCCTGTCTCCGGTCCGCTGACCAGAATGCCTCGTCGCTCAGGCTTTCCATATACACTTCAGAAAACCGGCTTCCTCTGCTCACCTGAAAGATCGTAGCCTCTGGATCAAACGAAAATGCAAGGCAATGCAAAAGCCAGACGCGCTTCGCCATTTCGATAAAAGTCGAAAAGAATGAAGTCTCCGGGAACTCGCCATTTTTCACCATTTTCCTCTGATCTGAATTGCCAAACAGAGACTGTTCCATTCTCTTATTTATAAGCCGCAAGTACTTCTTACAGCAAAATCTTGCGAATGCAGAGTCTGGCTTCCACCTCAGGTAATCGGCTGCCTTTACCGGTCTTAACTCCTCAAATTTATCGAAGAAGTGTTTCGGTCCTTTTTCCCCCTCGGGCTTAATGGAGAAGTTGGGATAATTGAAACCATCAAAAATCTCTCTGCATACAAAGGACTCGAATGCATAACATTTGTGATTTGCTTGCCAGAAAGTTAGACCAGGCACAATTGCACTGGCTGCAACATCTAAATCCCACCCTGCCAATTCCATCTCCCCAACAAGCAGCCTGACAAAGCTCCGAATTGATTTTGTTGTCTGCCTCAGAACACTGATGAAATGGCTGAGATTCAATTGTGAGAAGTGGAGATTTTCGGAGGGAAAGGATAACTGCCCACTCGAATTCAATTTCTTCTCCATCAATTTATTCTCTTGTTTGGCTTCATCCAATTTTTCCCGCAAGAATGTGATTTCGGAATCCTTGAGCCTTACCTGAGAATCGAGCTTTTTCCCATTAATCTCATAGATTCTGAGGGTGCAATTCTGCTCCTTGATTTCAGCCAAAGCCAAACAACTCTCAGGTGATGGATCCTCAATCTGCTTCTTCAAGTAGCATTGTTTCAGTTCGGACAAAGTTTTCAACTCAGAGACCACCATTTGATCTGCTGCTTGAATACCATCTGGGTTATAAGGAGACTGAGCATATTGCAACTGTGCGTATGCTGCTTTTATAGCCGATATACTCGCGAATAGTTTGGCAACAAAAGCTTCTATTGATATTTTTTCCCTCAAATTTCCATCCCCTTCTTCGTCAAAGGTGTTAAACTGCAGCTTCTTCAGAAAGTCTTTCTTTATCGCCATATCGCTCTTTACTTTTTCATGGTGGGGCTTCTTGGACCGTTGATTTCCATTGGAATCACCAGGCATAGCTCGAATCCTCATAACATTAGCTAAAGTGCGTCCCAATCTATTCTTGCTTGCAGTAACAATGCGCTGGTCAGCAGGGTGAGAGTCCATCTGATCCAAATTCACGAGATTTCAAAGACCAGGAACAGTTAAAGTAAAGTTGCTGACTACTATCTAAATTATCATCATAGCATGTTTGGCAAAAAGAGAAAAGCAGCATGCTTTATTTGCTGGGTCGAGTCCAATCACTATTTTCGTTTCTCAATTCCTTTCATATTAAAGTTTGAAAAGTGGGAGTAAAGAGATGGAGAAGAGTGAATGTGAACATATAGGGAGAGAGTACAAGAAAAAGCGGAAAGCAAATTGTCTTAAATACATTTTAACGGCACGTTTTAAAGTCTAAAGTTCAAGATTAAACAAATAGCATAAATTAGTACTAGTATCTTATTACGTAAGCGATCGCGTAAATACATGCCTTACTTAAAAAAGCAACACATTGAGGACGGCTATGTTTGATTGAAGAAAAATACTTTTGTTATTAAAAATGTTCTCAGGTTTTTCTATGTTCGAGGCTCATTATTCTAGACTCGAGAACCAGTAAACTATTGATTTTAGGCTCCTTAATATGCTACACGTAGTATCAGCTTGTTTGCAAAGATATACTCCGGAAAAAGATGATTAGTTATTTTTATGTCAAAAGATATGTTTGCGGCAAAAGATTTTTCTGTGGTTTGCACCGCATTAAATACTTTAATACATTCATGGAATTGTCTTCGTTTTATTTGATGTATGTATATTGTGAAAAAATCCTGTTTCTATTGTTAAGAGTTGAAGATTATACGGAGAATTATAAGTGCATAGAACAAATTTTCTAGGGACCATTGTTCCAAGGTAAATATTTTCTCTACTAAACATTTTTCTCATAGAAAACATTTTCCATAACAAGTTATTATCCAACACAAATGAGGCCGTAGGCATTGAATAATGAAAAAGTATCACAAAATAGATCCTCATAATGAAAAAGTATCACAAAATAGATCCTCAGCATTCAGCAACAATCAAATTTCTACACGTTACAATTTACAAGACCCTCCTTCAAAAAAAAAATAACTTACAAGACCCTCCTTCAAAAAAAAAAACTTACAAGACCCATACAAGACAGCAAAACTTGCACTTTCGTGTACAGTGAGAAAATGTTTTTACACAACCCATTTGGTACCTTCAGCTTAGTCTTTACAAGTCATTTTTTACCAAAATAAGCAAGGTTTGGAATTAAGGAGAGTAACTAATGATTTCCCACGTCACTCCGGTTGAAATTGCTGAAATTATTACTTGAGAGGAGCATTTTATCCATTTTTCATACATTCTTTTCAAGGTTCCATAGATTCAGCCAATATGAGTGTTACAAAAAAGACTATACAAATAATAATAGACATAATGGGGGGGGCTCTAGCAAGTAAGGAGAGTGAATCCTAGATATGCGCACCCATCAGCAGTTAGAACCACATTAAATGATATACGTAGTATTTGATATCAAACTAGCAAGATTGCCAGTGACACAAAACCAAATATCAACAAATACAGCAAACAACAATGTCAATGAAACCAAACCAAGACAACCACCCCAATGTGAGTGACAACGAACAACCACCTAAGGAGGTTAACAAGTTCAGAATTTGAATGAAAGCCAAATTTAAGGAATGAATATTAATATGAGCCTAGCTCAAGCAATTCATTATTCGATTTTAGTTGACCAAGCACTTACTAACTACTCCGTATATGAGTAAACTATATGCGCTAAAAAATTAATGCCATTAAAATAAATCTCAAATTTAAAATACAATTAGTAACAAATCCATTATTTATGAAACAATTGTGGTACTGCCAAAATTAACAAAATATGAGTTATGATTTAGTACTCCCAATCTCCCATATTTAGTACTACAAATCGTGCCCCATAAATCTTTTGCTAAGCAACCAAAACATGCACAAACAAAAACAGTACATTGCAAAGGGCGTGCTGTAAATACTCAAGAGGGTCCCATTGAAGTAAGTCAAGTATTTAGGGGGATGAGAGCTGCAAGAGAGTCATAGAGCAACGGCAACTCCCAACAAACAGAGAGAAGACAATGCCAACAACAATAGTTGACATAAGCAAAATTTCCTGTCCATTTCCCCCATGATTTTAGGGGGATGAGAGATGAGACACATTCCTAACACCACAAATTTCACTTAACTCTGGTTTTAAAGATATAGAACAAATATTGTCTCCCTTTTTAAGACTGCTTATAGCAGACTCATAAGATGAAAAGCCCTCACACTATTCATTTAGAGACAACATATTTATATTTATCATTTTTATCTACATAACTCGTTATTATATTAGCAATTAGCAATTAATTGTGTGCACATGCTAATATAATTATTCCTGAAAAATAGAGTAAAACAATCGGAGTACATATTTTCCTAAAAATATCAACATGAACGAAAAATGAAAAGTTAAAAGCTTTATTTTTACTAATAATTTTATATAAGTATTGTTTCAGTAATTAAACAAGTAACCAAGTTACAGCCCTCACTCGCAATTTAGCAACTCCCATCAGGCCATCATCCCATCATTTCCTCCAAGCGCTTTATGACCGATGAATAGTGATGATATATTGCATAATTAAAAAAGCTTCATGTTTGGCCCCACAATGTATGATTAGATTGATCATCTTAAAATATTTCCCACGGGTCCGGTTTTAAAGTCTCATATAATTCCACTTTAGTATATGACCATATATTCTAAAGAGAGTGGAGAGTACAAAACCAAGGATAGGTGCTAATTTAAAAGTAGTGGGCCAATGATATACCCCTAAGTAAAAAAATGGACACTACGTGTGAAAGTTTAATTTTCACTCTACTTTTTTATTTTAAAAAAGGAAATATTGCAAGTAAATGGGTACCATAGTTATCATGAAAATTTCACAATAATAATATGTTTCCTCTGTCTCATTAAACTTTGTCAATTCTAATTTTTGTTGACTAATTTTTTGTCACTTTTTATTTAACTAATTTGTGTTTCTGTTCATTTACGTCTCCTTCAAACAAATGTCAATTATAATACTTTTACTCTTTTAAATTCTAAATCAATTCAAGGTTTGCAATTTCTAGTGGAATTTACATATTTCTTTCGTTTTTAAACAGTGACAACATTTTCTACTTACATACACATATATATAATCAAATTATTATATACTCCTATAAAATATAATGAAATTTTTATTGATGTGAATTTCTAAAATATTACGAGTAAGTTTTTATAGGAAGTACTCCGTCATATATAATGGTTCCGTATTTAACTGGTGTACACAATGTGCACATTGTCTGTGTACAATGATTGGACATCAAGTTCTATCCCTTTTTAAAGGAATTGTGTGTAACAATTGTGAAGGTTTGTGTATCACTCGTGTACCCTGGAATTTTCCTTAGTAAATTAACGTGTGAATCTAATACGGAGTATAATCCGTATGTGAATCTAATATATAACTCACGTCTTACAAAAAAAACGTCTAGTGGAGAAAGAAACTACAGTATTCTGTACCCAGAAATTATTGTACCGTAGTTATTTTAAAACAGCAAACCGTCTTGTCAAATTATTATTCATATGGAAATTTTCGCTTGGCTTATTCTGCACAACAGTAAAATAAGAGCATAGTGTACTATTTTTATCTCACACGACAAGAAAATCCCGCGTGGGGCCTATTCACTATACTGCCATTAATATCACGGGTCTTAAATTCCCTCGATTCCAGGGCCCAACGTAACCCAACGGACAAAAAATCAAACCCCCTTGTTTAGGGGACTGGGGATAGGGGAGCCCTCGCGGGCATGGGATGGGGTAGCCCCACACACGTTGAGCCCAATACCCCCGCGAGTCCACACCGTGAATTACGGTGGGACGCCATCACAGAGAACCTAAACTCGGAGGCGTGCCCTATTCACACTACCCACGATTTTTAATGTGTGTATGCGAGCAGTTAGGCTGATAGAGAAAGTCCAGACCATCAGGCGTACCAAATGTTCCGAAGAGAAATAATTGATCAAAATCGAGAAATTACCGTTATATAATCACCTTTTGCATTTCTCCAGCCTTAAAAGCTCCCGATGAAATGCAGATTCGGATTTCTAAGCTCCTCTTCAGTCGGAAGAAAACCGGAGAGTAAACAACCTAACCATTCACTCACAAGTCACAAGTTCCTCCCTGTAAAAACGGACATAGAAAACGGAAGCCATTCAATAATCAATAAACGTAATCGGAAAAACTAAAACAAGCCTAAATCATCACCCAAAAGTGCAGGAATTGAAAGTATCAGAAAACGTAAGAATATTGAATGATTTGAATCCACGCCAGGTCTGGATAGCGATGCTGCCTGACCTTGAAGACAATGACAAGGACACAGTGAAGCTTCCTTGAATCAATGAAGCACAAACTCTGTCGTTCGCTATACAGGCTCAAGAGCTATCAGATACTTGCAATGAACAGACTGAGACAGCTTCCGGTGATAGATACGATCGGAATTAGAGCTTCACTCCGGCGGGCCAAAAATATCAGACAGGCAGAGACGAAATGGGAAAGTAGTTTTTGAAGGGGGAAGGAGGCATATTGGTGGGCTTTAATTAAAGAAGAAGGGGGGAGGAAGCGGGGTCAATTTTCAGGATCTTCGATTTGACGGAATTGCCGACGACGTTTGTGATTAATAGCGGTAGGGTGGGCAGGTACGCGGGATTGTTAGAGGACATTGTTGTAATTACAGTAGTAAAACGAGGTAACTGGTTAACAGCTGTGAGCTATCCCGAAAAAAAATAAAAAATAAAACCATCCCCGGTACAGAAGCATGACTGTGTCACGCATCTGATGATCTGATTGATGAATGAAATAATTCCAAATACGGCTGTTAACCCTCAATTAGAATAAAATTAGGTCTAAACACAAAAATAAAACTATAATTAGTTTCTTCTCAAAATATGATTAATATACGGCGTATATTCTTACTTTTCATTCTATCTCTACTCATGTCAAGTACCTTGTGATTTGATGACATCATTTTGACACTTTCAATGAGGATGTTACAAGTTCGAATCTCATTCCAATTCAAGTATGTTGGCCTTAACAAACAGATACAATAATAGGTTAGAAAAATGGGGTTATGTCTAAAATAATACTAAAAAAAGAGCTATGGACAAAAAAGAGACCTTTTTTTTCACTTTCCAAAAATGGGACTAAAAAGAGGATTAAGAGAGTATTATACTCTTATACTAATATAATCTCACCCATTAGTGCTCCAGTATAGTCACAGTGACCAACAAAAATACAGTGACAAAATCATTAGTGACGAAAAATCCAAATTCCGCCAAGTGACAAACGTTCGCCCGATTAGTGACCAATGCCCGCCCGTACAGTTACAGTTACCCGACTCATCCAGTTACAGTTACCCGACCCGTCCAGTTACAGTTACACGACTCGTCCAGTTACAGTTACCCGACCCGTCCAGTTACAGTTACCTGACCCGTGCAGTTACAGTTACCCGACCCGCCGATTATAGTTACAGTTACATAACTCGTCCAGTTACAGTTACCAACCATTCACTTACAATTACCAACTCGTCCAATTACCCATAAACCACCACTGACCACAGCCACCACCAATTACCCATAAACCACCACCTCCCACCGCCACCGCCAGCAACCCCCACCTCCGGCGAGCACCACACTCAATCCCAATGCCTCACCCAGCCCCCTCCCCTGGTCACCCTAACCCCCCTGCATCACCCAGCCCACTCTCCCCTGCATCACTCATCCCAATGCTCCGGCCACCGCCGGCCATGCTCCGACTGCCGCTGCTCATGCTCCGGCCGCCACCGGATCGGCCTTACAAACCTTACGCGACCCCACCATCGCCAAAGACCTTGTCCAGACCTCATCCCATGCCCCAGGAAACCAGGTCCGTCACCTCCGCCCACCATTTCCCCCTCCCCTGCTGCAGGCGGCCGCAAATTTGAGAATTAAGGTGGCCGCAAATCTTAGAATCAAGGCCGCCGCCGTCACAATCGAACTACAACCGCCGCAGATCTAGTAACATGGATGAAGGCTTGTCGAAGCTAGCTTCTCCCATCGTCCATGGAATTTTCGACCAAGACATCTTCGTTGTTGAGCCGCTGAAGCACCTAGACGAAGAAGATGAACGTTGCAGACGCGAGCGGTGGAGGCAGGCGCGGGTGGCGGCGTGTATCGGCGAAAAGGTGTCCGACGTTGATGTTTGGAGCTTTGGTCGGTGCTGTTGTTGCGCGCAGGGGAGAAGCTCGGAGAAGACCGTGGGATGGTGCGTCGCTTGGAGATTTGGTGCGGTCCTTTTTTTGTCAAATTAAAAATCAGTCCTAGTTTTGGTAAATGAGAAGACCGGACTCCTTTTTTAGTCTTTATTTCCAGAAAAATTTGCCAAAAAACAATCTCTCTACTAGTAACTGGTACTACCTCCGTCCCTCTTATATTGGGACGGAAGATGATAACACGATTGTTAAGACAAATAGGTTTGTGTAGTTCATATTAATTGATAAAGTATAAATAAAGTAAGAATGATTTAAACCCACATAAACATTACCAAATATGAAATGAGACAATTTTAGTGAATTTTCCAAAAAGGTTAAGCGGGATAATATAAGGGGGACGAAGGGAGTAATAGATTTAGGGCGTGTTTAGAACTGATTCAGTGATTCTGCTTCTGCTTTTTTTAAAGCGGAAGCAGAATCAGAATCAGTTTTCAGAAACTGATCTCCCGCATCTTCTAAAAAAATTGATTCTAGGAGTAAATTAGAGCATCAGAATCACTTTTGCACTTTTACCCGAACACTCTAACTTCTGTTTCTACTTCCTAAAGGGGCAGAAACAGTTTTAAGAATCAAATTCAAACACCCCCTTATTTTATTAATTAAAAAAATTGATTTTATTAACAATAAGAATATATATAAATTAATAAAAAAATGGGAAAAAAATAAGAAATAAAATAAAAAATATACTTCGTAATATTTAAAACAACTTTAAAAAAAGTCTTAAAAATCAAATACTCCCTCCGTCCCAGAAAGAAGTTCCAGGTTAAAATTGGCACATGTTAAGAAAATAAATTTGCTGAGGGGTAAATTTACTGATTTAACATTGTTTGGCACTATTCGACACTGTTTTGCACTATTTTAATGTAGATAATTTGCCAAATACGAAAATGTTTGAAAGTGAAACTTAATTTTGATACTGCCCAAAAAGGGAAGGTAGAACTTGTTTCTGAGAAGTAGAGAGTACAATATATAAACATGTTAAAAACATATGAGGTCATTGCCACTATGGCTGCGTTTGGAAAGGCAGCGGATTAGCCAAACCGCTAATGTTTTTATACTTGGAAACGCTGCTTTTTGCAGCGGGTGGATACCAATCCGCTAGGAAACAAACGATGCCTATGGCTGCGTTTGGAAAGGCAGCGGATTAGCCAAACCGCTAATGTTTTTATACTTGGAAACGCTGCTTTTTGCAGCGGGTGGATACCAATCCGCTAGGAAACAAACGATGCCTATATCTTCTAACTCCTAGCACTAGCAGTTCTAATTAAAATTCCATGAAAATGTCATTTTTAACTATTAAAAAATATTCAACTTTCTTTTTAAAATGTAATGAGGATGATATTTTTTCAAGTTGGCATTTTTTTTGTGACTGGAAGTGACAATTCTGGATGGAAAGCTGGTGCGATCGTGGGGGCCTGTATATTTTTTTTATTCTTTACATTTTTTATTATTAAAAAGATCTTACGGAGCATTAAGAATGACAAGTGAAATGAGTAGAATAGGAAAAGTTAGTCTTGTTTTGGGGTTTTAATCTTTACGCTCCTAACGTTACAATTTTTCTTCTATTTAGTCCTATTTTAAAAATTATTTAATCAAATTATATAAATGGGAAAATAATTAAAATACCCCAAACTTCGAAAGAGTGTGAAGTAAACACATCAAACTTGCATATGTAATTTAAATACCCCAAATTTTATATAAAAAAATATTTTATCACCATGGTCATATATTATTTCTTTAATTTATAAATTAAAATATTTTAACATTCATGAAGATACAATTAACATTCTAAACTTTCATTATAAAATAAATAATACTACCCCCACTCTATATAATTGCCTCTCTTTAAATTTGTCACTTTAAATTATGCAATTAACATCATAAATTTACATTTTTGAAAAAATAATATATGACCATGGTGCTAAAATAACTTTTTATATAAAGTTTGGGGTATTTAAATTACATATGAAAGTTTGCGATGTTTATCTCACACTTCTTCAAAGTTTGGAGTATTTTAATTAATTTCCCTATATAACCAAAATATAAGTAATGAGACAAAAATATGATTCTGGTAACTTTAGTTAGTATAATTGTATAGATTGTAAAAATTTTCACAATAACTTATAGTCTTATTTTATTCCTTATACGGAGTATTTTTTTTATTAATACACCGAGGACTATCGTATAAACAAAATTGCTCGAAATAAGACTAAAATATAAAATTGGAAACAGTCAAATTAATTCATGTATTTTGGTCAAATATTAATTGAATCATTATACATTTACAATTTAAGAATATCTCCAATATAATTATGTACACGATGCATATGCGGCTTGAGAGATATAAATATATCAAAACAAATCAATGACATTTTCCTTTCTTTCTTTTCACAGTTTATTACTCCCTCCGATTTTATTTAATTTTCACACTTTGACTTCACACAAAATAAGGAAATAAATTTGACTTTACTAGAGTACACTGTTTGGCACTGTTGAGACACTGTTTGGCACTGTTGAGACACTGTTTGACACTGTTTGCACGGTTTTGATGTAGATTTCTTTGCCAAAAAAAGAAATAAGGAAGTGTGAAGTTTATTTTAGACCGCCCTAAAAAGGAAAGTGTGAAGTTTATTAAAAACCGGAGGGAGTATATTTATAAGAACTTTTCTCGACAATGTAATTACAATGTCTACATTTAGATATTTTTCTTGATATCATGGATGAATTTTATCAAAAACATAAACCCATTTAAATAAGGAGAGAGATGTACTCTTTACTACTCTCTCTGTCCCAAAATGAGAGCCCGTATTTCTTTTTGGAAAACCACTAGCAAGCAATATGTGGTGAATAGTAGTAGTCTTGGACCAGGTTCGGGCCACCCGGCCCGTGGACCGGCTCGGCCCGCTACTGTGCGGGTTCGGGACCGGCCCGGTTCTCGGGACCGATTCAGTGCCCGAACCGGGGGGTCCGGGCTCGGTGCTTGGTTTTGGCGACCCGGCCCGGCCGAGTCGGGCCCAGGTCCGGGCCTATCAGTCTTATTTAAAAAAATCCTTTGAATTTGTAAAGAGCCGTTTGGCTCTTGACCCACACCCCAAACGGCTATATAGCCGTTGGGTGGGTACCAGGGGGGTCCGGGGCTTTTGGGGGGGTGGGGGTTAAAAAAAACCTATAAATACTCCTAATTTTAAACATTTTTTCACACATCTTCTCCAATTCTTCCTAAATCCTACTCTCTACTCATCTCCATATTCATCTTCTCAAATTCTCTTATTCTTCATTATATTTTATTTTACTATTTAATACTTATACAATTATTATATCTACTTATA